GAGCTGATGTGCATGGTGATTAAAACCATAAGTGCCTTCCACATGGAAGGGTTTCAAGCTGCTCTTCCTTCTTGCCCACCTGATTTTGGGCCCGGAGCTGCCCGGCAGCCTTTGGCACAGGAGAACTTTTGCTTGTGATCTGGAGTTAAGTGTGTGGGTGACTGGGTATTAAAAAGTGCTTTTATAATTAAATATGGAATAGTAATTGCAGTTATGCAAAAAATAGCCAGATTGGAGACTTTAAGGAGAGAGACAGTGATGAAACCTCCCACCTTGCTCATATAGTTTATCACATGATATATTAGAAATTCTATCCTAGAAGAACTTTTGAACATTTTAGCTTAAATTGTGTGGAAAGGATGTTTTCAGTTCCACAACATTTTAGCTGTGTTTTTTCTATCCTGTGTATGGGATGAAAAATAAGTCCTCAAAAATATTCTGCTAACTGAAAAACCTGAAAAAAACTCCAGTTGGGTCAATATGAAGAGCTCAGTGGTATAGTGGCAGATCACTCCATTTCAGGTATAAATTTTATTTGTGTATTTTTTCCAAACCAAATTAATCTAACAAAATGGTGTATTTAAAAATGAGGCTAGCTTGGGGTGAACTGAGTGGCAAAAAGAATGTTTCAGCAGTTTTCTAACTTTTTTCCCTATAATGCATTAGAAATGGAGGACACTGCTGAAAAAAAATAACCATAACACTTTTTTGCAACCTGTAGCAGGGGCTGATCTTGCTGTGCTGTACCAGAGGGGGTGAACATATCTGCTCCCCTAAATCTGACCTGCCTGACTCCTCCTGGAGATGCTTCTACTTCTCACCTTGAACTTCCAAAGTAAACAAACTTTTTGTGTGTGTTGGATGAGAAAGCCAATTCCCCATCTCTGCTTGTCTTTTTTTTGAGTAATTTGTTGCTCTTCTGCCTGGAAATGACCATCCGTTAGTATCGGTGGGCATGTGGAGTTTACAGAGCTTTTTAGATGAGCATCTCTTACCCTCTATATCACAATAAAATCATCAAGGCAATGAAATATGCTAAATTCTCACCTGAATAAAGGTAGTTCAGTTAAAATATTCACCTATCAGCTCCCTGTATGAAAATGGAGAACTATAAAAAGTAGACAGGCTTGTATGGAGGGTTCTGCTAATGTTAACATATTTTTCAGTGTTTGGAGAAATTTGATTTGTTTAAAGCCTGGTGTGAATTCACCTGGCAGCAATTCCAATATTTTTCAAATAATTTCTGAAGGACAAAAATGTTCTTTGTGTGAAATGAGATTTATTTTACAGGCCAGGGCCAAAAATGGGTTTGTCAGGGGACCAGCATGTGGCCAGAGGCATTGTGGCTTTGCTGGGCAGCGTGTGAGGCGTCCACCCCTCCTGGTTAACTGTGATTTCTCAAAACAGAACACAGCTTGGGAAAGCCAACTCAAATGGGCCAAGTGCTGGGCTGGCTGTGCTCCTGGGGCTACCATGGCATGCAGAGTCCACCCACTCAGGTGTATGGGCCATGGACCCATTTGCAACAGCTTGGACAACTGAATTGCATGTCCTGACTGCTCCATTTTGTGTGTAAAAAAAAAAAAGCTGGTTTGGTTTAAAGTGCACAGAGTAACTGCACACAAACTGCTCCCTGGAGCAGCAACATCTTCTACCTGTGGTAGAGGAGCTGATGTCTGGTGGCTGCTGCCCCACCCAGGTGATGATAATGAATAAATGCTCTGTTCTTCCTTCCCTGTGCCTCCTGACTTAGCAGCTGTTACACTCTGAGATGGGTGCTGTGCTTTATTTGGAGAACATCACTGATGGTAACCATGAGGTGATGATCACCCGAGCCCAGCTGGGGCTGCTGGTGGTTACATTAGTGTGCCTGATTCTGCACTTCACTGGTGGGTGAGAAAAATGGAACAAAGGAAATGTGGTGCTAGTCAGCCTCAAAAAAAAGTTCAAAATGTTTGGTGAACCAAACAATTGCTGATAGTTTTGTTTCACATCACAAGAACTATTACATTTATTTTTTCAGGCTTGTCCAATAAAAAATCTACCTCACCCCATGATTTTAAAAGGCAACATCAGTTCAAACAAAAATGGAAACATCTTGTTTTCAAAACCATGAAACAAAATAATTAATATTTATGTCTGCTTTTCACTTTTTCCTGCATAACAAAAACAATTTGGCAAAGTTTGTATTGAGTCGTGAGCTGTTTGGGTACACCACAAACTGTGTGGTTTCTTTCTGAAAAAATAGTGCTGGGAAGTGACAAGTGTTCAGTGGAGCAGAAAAGTGTGGCTTTTTCCCCAAATCTTTGATAGATGATGAGCAGTACAGCAGCTAATGGAGAGCTGATGCTACTGTGCTCAGATGTTGAGTCTATAGAAAAAAAAAAAATTGTATTGCTGCAAAGATATTGGTTCAATCCACTTGAATGGCTGCAGCTATTTTAAGGGCATGACTGTATGAGAAGGGAAATCACCTAACCAATTTAAGGTGGTATTACCTTGAAATTGCCATTCCCTCTAGAGGTTGTACTAGTACAGTTGTATTGCTGTAAGGTCGCAGCTTTTGTAGTCACAGATGCAGGAGTCTGGACCAGGCTTGCACCAGCAGTTCTTTCTCAGCAGCTTCTTCTATTTAACTCTGGCTGGTGATGAGGGTGTGAAGCCAGCAGCATCCCCAGCCCTGCCTTTGGACTTCATTCCTTTTTTTGTCCCTCAGATTTGAAATCACTGCACTTGCATCTTCTAGAGAGGTGCAGGCTCCTGTGTTTCCTGAGCACTCTCTTCTTTCTGTACTCACCTCCAACTCATGCTGGAGTTGGGCACGCTTGCGCTCTGCAAGCATTTTGTGAGATAAGATGATGTCTCCTCAATTAGAAAAGCTAAACCAAAATAAGCTCTCTGTTGTCCTAGCTGGTGACATTTAGTAAGTCTGCAAGGTGCCAAGTTTCAGCGTATTACAGCAGGGATGTTCACATTTCAGATTCAGATGTTCCAGAATAGAAATAAGACCTGACATAAATAATCTCATTAAGAAAATAACAACTATTAAAAGGCCATGTGAATTTGGCACCTGGAATACTTGTGTGCTTTAAATCCCACAAGGGTGCCTCTCATAGGCTGGTAATGCCTGTGAATGCTGAGCTGCCATTTTCATCTTGCACCTTTCCATTCCAGGGTGGGTTTTTTTGCAGCACTGGTTGTTAGCTGCTGTCCTGAATGCCCAGTTGGGGCATCAAGAGAAATGTTTGTGCCAGGAAGAGTCAGGACTAGTCCCAATTTCACTACCATGTATTTTTCATTAATTTGTGCTGCCTACAGGAACATAAGTTCCTTTTGCAGGGGATAAGCATGATATTAAAATGGAAATAGAGAAAGAAATAGCACAGGGTAATATCCCTTCTGAAACATGACCTCTCTTTGGGGCAGCAGCCATTGTCAAAATTGTTTGCAATGCTAATGCTTCAGTAGGGGGTTAACTGTGCTGCTGATCAGATGGATAATTCCCTTTAAAATTATTGTTTTACCTCACTCCATAGAATTACTCAAGTTGTTTTGCTATCCTACAGATCTCTCTGTTAATGTCAACAGAATGATTATAGACTGCAACAGCGTCAAGATGTTTCACCCACAGGAGCGCTGGTGAAATGTTTATGGCGCAACATGTTGAAAGCAGTGTTTGATGTGTAAATGTCAGGAACAATCAGCTTTCCTGGCACCAGAAACAACATACAAATAACAGGCATCAAAACTGTCACATGCACAACCAAAGAGCTTCATCACAGGTCCTGTAAATTGACACTGATGTTGGCCATTTACATGACAGCAGCAGTGTGGAAAAGGCACCACAGCTCTCTGGTGATGCCACGCATGTGAATCAGTGGCGTGGTCCTTCCCTGGGCGTTGGTGGCCCAGTGGGGAAATGGATGGAGGACATCCATGAGGATGGCAATGTGGGACATGGACCAAACCTCTCTGCTTGAAGGGAAAACTTTGTAAAGGATGGAGATGTGCTGTGGGAGCTGTCTTTGGTTTTGTCATAATGATGAGCATCTGGAGGTGGGGTGGGGGGTTGTGGC